ATTCTCTTAGCAGTCTGTGTATCCATATATTCAGTACTCTTCTCCAGCACCACAGCTCAAAGGCATCAATTCTCCTTTTATCATCTGTAGTTATTGTCCAGCTTTCTGATGCATAGCAAGTAATTGCAAAGACTATGGCCTGCAGCAGGTGCACCTTAGTCTCCAGACTGACATCATTGCTCTTCAGTACTTTGGAGAGTTTTCTGACAGCCGACTTTCCCCTCACAGTACGTCTTTTAATTTCCTGGCTGCCGGTACCAAGAGTGTTGATTGTGGAGTCAAACAAACTAAAGCTGGTAACAATCTCAGTCTCTTCACCATCTATTTGATACTGCTAATTGGCCTAGTGGCGAGAATCTTTGTTTTCTTGATGCTGAGCTTCAATCCATATTGAAGGCTGCAATCCTTGACTTTCTGCAGCAAGTGCTCAGGTCCTCCTTAGTGTCAGCAAGCAGGGTTGTGTCATCTGCATAGTGCAGATTGTTGATGAGTCAGATTTCTCTAATCCTCATGCCACATTTCTCCTCATAGAGCCTAGCCTCCTAGATAATTTGTTTTGCATTGTATATAGGTTCAAAAGGTATAGAGATAGGACACATCCCTAGTGTACACCCTACCCAGTTTTGAACCATGCTGTGTTTCCTTGCTTTTGTTCTGATGACTGCCTCCTAGTACAAGTAGAGGTTTTACATATGCACAATCATATGTTCTGAGATTGCCATTCTCCTCTAGGTGAACCATAATTTCTTGTGATCCAGTTAAATGCCTTTGCATAGACAGTGAAACACAGACATTCCTCTGCTTCTCCCTGCTTTCAGCCAAGATTCATGTAACATTAGCTATAATATCCCTGGTACCAAGGCCTCTTCTAAACCCAGCCTGCACTTCAGACAGTTCTCTGTTGATGTGCTGTTCCAGTTGTATTTAGATAATCTTCAGCATAATTTTGCTTGCATGTGATACTAATGATATTGTTCAATAATTTCCATACTCTGTTGGGTCACTTTTATGTATGTAAAGTCAGTTGTTGTCCTCCCTTTCCTGATATTTGGTACGTAATATTTGGACTTGCAGATTCCTAAACTCAAGAGATACTGGCCACAACAGATGAAAATCACATTAGCTTGAGGTGTTTGGTATCACAGAGGCCCAGAAAGCTTGAGATATAAGCCATCATATTAAGGACTGGATAGGGAGAGACAGGTGTTGAATGGTGTAGGTGGGAGTGAAGGACCCCCAAACCGCTGGTCCTGTTCTGTCCCGAGTGGACGGCGAAGACCCAAGACTCCAAGACACCGGCTTGATGCAACAGCAAGAGATAAGAGGTTTATTG